ACACTCACACTCACACTCTCTCTCTCTCACACACACACACACACATATAGATATATTATACATTTCCTACACTAAATACTTTTTTTCCCCACTGTATATCAAAACCTAATTTTTGATTAGTAATATACATTGCTAAGAACTTAATTTGGACAATTCTAAGGTGATTTTTTTGCACCCTCAGATTCCAGATATTTAAATAGTTGTATCTCGGCCAAATATTTATATATATATATATATATATAATTAAAAGAATTGTCCTTAATTTTTCTCTTTTACTTTTTTTTTCTCAACAGAAAAGTGAAGCTAAGCTGGAAGAGGTTTTGAAAGAAATAAAATCTCTCAGAGAGCTGGTCAGCAGTCAGGAAAAAAGAATTGCCAAACTTGAGGAGCAGCTGTCTAAAATGGACGTCTAATGGACCCTGATCCCTTCCCCTTCTATTCAGGATATCCCATTGGCCAGGTGGGCGGGACCCGTCACTGCCAATCACCATGACAGCGTTCCGTCTGAAGCCTGCCTTGAAAAGACTCCAACCAACATTCCAAGATGATCTTTTTTTTTCTTCTTTCTTTCTTTGCAATCCCCAAAACCTGTTTATACCTCATAGCCATTTGGAAAACTAGAAACTCCTTCAATTTCTCTCAAAATTTGACCTGTTAAGCTTTTTACTCAGTCTCACTCCAAATCTTTCTGCAACGGCTGTGTTTTATCTGGTGTTCTTGAAAGTTCTTAAGTTTTTTTTTGTTTTGTTTTTCTTATTAAAATTGTGACCAAGCAGATTGCATCATGAAGCAGTTACATGAACTTGATGAGCTCAAAGTTTGAAGTAGCCATCAGTATTGCAGTTCTCACCCTTCTGAGTTGCCAAATTTAATGAGGAGTTATGCACCTCCCTGACACTGTTTGACTAGCTTTTCATTTTGTACTTTGTATAAGGGACAAAGCTATATGCTAGTAATGCAAGGAGGGGAAATCATTGGAACCATTCGTCAATGTTATAGGTGTCTTTCTAGAAAAAAAAAAAAAGGTTTTAATCAAACATGTAGAGTTGACAAATTTACAAACCAGTACTGGAAAACAATATATGGTGCACTAAAATATTCCACTTTTTTTTTTTTAAATCCGGTACCAATGTAAAAGTATTAAAATATTCATTGGCAAAATAATCAAAATAATTGTGGTTCTGATGGTTGCCATGAATACAGCCAATGTGTACTCCACTCACAACTCCAAACATTTTCTTGATGGCAAACATTGTCATCATAATGGTAATACAAGCAAATTGAGTCCGTTTTTCTAGTTTCCACATATCTGAACTTTTCTTCATTCATGTTCTGTTTCCTGAATGAAGCCAGAACCCGTACGGCTCTCACTTTGTAAACTCTAGAAGGTCTCAGCTTCTAGTTTCACATCCCAAAACATGATGATATACGCTCAGAACAAGATAACGCCCATAGACCTTTATTAGCTTCAGCAGCAAAACTCTATTGCGTCATTCGTTGCTTCACCAGCTCGATAGCTTTTACTCTGACTTTGTTCAGACATCGTTCAGCTTTCAAGCGTTTGCTTTTGCATTAATTCCTACGAATCTCATCTTGAGTTGTGCCGGCCACACCATCTCAGAAACAAGCTTGTTTGATGTACATACTTTTGCTGTGCATTGTAGACCGTGACCACCACCACAAATAGTGAGTCATGATTGGCTTCCTCTTCCTAATAAGTTCTTTTGCGACGCTCTCCTAGTCAAGCAAGAACCAGTTCTCTCCAGGGATGGCTCAGGTCTAGATGATGATTTCATGAAGGTATTATGTGTGCCACAAGTTTGAGCTGATGACAACTGGCTTTTTTTGTTTGCTTATCTATTGGCCATGTCAGGAAGAGAGGAAACTGTGATTCTGTTGTTCAGATTGCTTTGGCTACATCCTTCGTCAGAGCGTTCTCTTGTGGTTTTCGTTTTGACGCTTCTACATATCTCGTTTCGGTTCGCCTCTTTCATAGATTCTGAAAAGCATCTTCCCTCCTCCACAAGCTTTTTCGTCTAAAATAGCCAGCGTTTTCTCACCTCAGAAACATTACAATGAGGCTTCAGATCAGTGTCTGACAGCGACAACTCCGTACCTCTGATGTCATTCTTTTCTTGGTGAAGTTTTAAAGTGAAGGGTTTGAAAATGTAGGGCCCGTGTTAATGGGTACAGATGTGCCAAGATGTGCGATGGATCCATTTTGAGTGTTTAAGTGGCCTCAGGAGGCATCTGTGATGCAGCCTCGAGCGTGTGGTTTCAAAGGAGTGAATGATTGAAGTGAAAAGGGATTTTTGTAGGTTGAAAAGAGAATGCAGGAAGAAGTGGATGTAAGTGATTTATTTGGATGCTTTGTAAATATATATTTTTTTTTAGTTTTCCTTTACATTTTTTTTTCTTTGGCTGTAGGAAGGTGTTTGTCCATCATTTGGAGTTTGATGGTTTTAAAGAATTCCCTATTTTCCCACATCATCATGCACACTGTGCGCCTTTAATGTTTCCAGTGATAAAATGAAATAAGAATCAAAAGGAAGGAGATCTAGAAATTCCATTTTGTGCATAACTGTTCCATTTTTGTTCATTCATCTGCTTCAAATATAAAGAGTCTTACTGATTACCAGAAAAATAAACGGAATCATTGGCCTTTGTCTCTCTCTCTCTTTTTCCTCTCTAATTATTAAACCTCTTTTTGTGGAAGCATTGTTGGTTACAAGTTCTAACTTAGTGTTTTAGGGAACTAAGATGTGATATTTAAGTCTCTCTCTTGCTCGTTTGTGTTTGCGTCACACTTTGAGAGCCTCCGCTTTAGCCTGACGCTTCATGAGGTTTGACTTCCTGTAGGTTTTGCGACATTGCATTGTGAGTGTGTGAGGGGGCCTAACGTTCCATTGAACTCCAGATCAACACCCAGTCAACGGTAGAAACGGATGGTAAGTACTTTTATTTTCCATTTGAATTCTGCCTTAACAAATTGAGTCTAAAATCAGATGTTAGGTTAATACGACGTGGTGCTTTTTGAAATCCATCAACTGTGGCGTGTGTACGTCACTAAATATCTGCGAGTAAACTGTTAAAGGTTTCATGAAGTGCGATCATAACCGTAATCGTAATATATTTTAAATCGAGTACTTGAGTGTGGATAACTATAAAACAACGACACTGTCAACTGAAAGGAAGTATTGGTGTAACCACATGCTATAGTCACAAACTTAACCTTGTTAAAGTACGAGCAAACTGTTTGTATGCAGCAATCAGGTGTTTTGTTCTTCCATTGTTGCTAGACCTCAGTTTGCTCTCAGTTCTCACTGTCTGAAAGTTCCTCTCCGCTCAATATACTAGGGAGGAATAACAGCATATGAGTGTGAAAATAAAGTTTGGTGATGTTTTGTGCGTCTAAAACACTATTGCCAAATTCTCTGTCATTTTTGTGCAGATGGCGATGGTGACTAACCGACTTGGGTGTTTACCAGTTCTTGTTTTGCTGCTGACTTTGAGCAGTTTGGTCACGTCAAGATCTCTTCGGACTAAAAGGCAAATTAGTCACAACGAGACATCGATAAACACCAACGACACACACAGTACAGCAACCGTAGCTCAAGCCGAGAATGCAACAAGCACCACTGTGGAAACTTTGAAGGCTTCGAGTACGTTACAGACAGCAACTGGAATACCTGATTTCAATATCTCAGCAACTACAGACTACCACCATGCTCCAGATTTGAACCACACCCAACAAAGCTACGCTGCAGGAACCGAGAACCTGACAGTCCACCGCTCAACAAATAACGAGAGTGCTTTTCTCACCCAACTTCCCGCAATAAATAACAGTACTGGACAGATTTCACATGCAGGAAGTTCTGCCCCCACATTTCCTGCGTCGCTGGAGCCCGGTAAGGTAACAGAGAAGCGCACGACTGCACCGACGACGACAAGAATATCCACAGATGCAAAAAAAATTACCACTCAAGTTACTTCAACCATCTCTAAGAAATCAACCACAACAACGACCCACTCATGTTCCGCTGCCTCTTCTCAAGGGGACGGACTTGTGAGTCGTTGCCTCATCGCCATTGCCTCGATGGCTGCGTTTACCACCATCTTTATCATTAGCACCATCTGCCTGGCTACCAAACTCTCGGGATACAGGCATAAGGCGCATCTTCTCCAGGAAACTGAGATGGTCTGCATTTCTGCCATGATGAACGATACCGATCACCCGGTTCCAAACCCAAGAAGACATCCCAAAAGTAACGGAGCGTTGATCCCCAATACTGAGGATGAAGATCCTGACGGAGATAATCTCACTCTAAACAGCTTTCTTCCCGATACCGAGGGCCCTCTTTAGAAGTTTAGACCTGTATGCACTGAGAAACCGGATGCAGCATGGGATTTTTTGCTCTCAAGCATTAAGTCCGTGCTCAGGTTTGACCCAAACCCAGCTCTAAAATGGTTTGCACTGTCCTCAGTTTGTCTGTGGTACAGGTTTATCAGTTTTCTCACTCAGTGAAGTTCTAGCAATAATCTGATGCCTGGCTTTTAAAACGACCATTTTATGATTTGCTGTACAATAATCCACATCTTTTATTTAATCCGTGGAACATTTCATTGTTTTTGTAAGTGTAAAGCGGTTTGAATGCTATATTTAATCATTTCTTTGAGATATTGTACTACTATGTTCTCTGAGAAGCTCAGGCGTTGGTAGGGCTTGGCAGAATGTATTGCTGAATATAGTCTATATCTGTCTGTGGTTCAGCTAGTGCTATATAATTTACTCGAACAGAGTGATTATCACAGTCTGAATATAACATGTTATTGCAAATGTACATAAAATACATGCTTTGACATTTACCCAGAAAGAATCGAGCTTTTGCACAGAAATGACACACTTTGTGTGAATAAAAAACAAATGGCCAAAGCCAACTAGATTAACACTGCGAAAACCAATAGATAGTCAGCAAAATATTGTTTTCAGTTCACATTTAGTTTATTTGTACTGTAGTATTTTTGTAGTTTTTTTATTTTTCATTTTCTGCTATATAATAGGCCATTTTCTATGTAAATTCTACATGTGTTGGCAATTTCAGTATGAATGTGTTCAAGTGGATGAATGTTGTGCAAGATGACATGGAAAAAGTCATTGTGCAGTGATAACCCAGTTATTGTTACCCATAAATGTTAAATAAATCATTTAATTGAAGTGACTCGGACCTCTTACATTTTAAAGTCAATGTGAATTGCTGTATGCAACCCATTTTTATGTTTAAATTATACGAGATTCAACTAAAGATTTTTAAAAACTTGAAATGGGTTGCTGGATTGTCCTTGTCCCATGCTTCCATCAGTGTTCTTCTAGAGGAGAGAAAGAGAAGGACAGAAAAGGGAGGAGATGGAGCAAGAGGGGAGGGAAATGTCCTTGTGCAATTATCCAGATTTTTTAGGGAAAACCTACACAATCAGAAGCTTGCATGAGCCTTTCAGGACAACGCACAGGCAGCTTTTTTTCTTTCACAACTGTCTTTTTTTATTTTGCATACCTGTAGCTTGAAGTGTTGGTGTCAGTGCATCAGAGACGGGAAGTAACACCAGCAGTGAGTATTTTTAGGTTTCCTTCATTGAGAGAGTAGATTTGATGTTTTGCTTTCACATGTTATAAATCATTTGTTAACACACTTTAAATAGATGTCCGCTCTCATTTCAAATGATTTTTATTTATCAGAGTCACTCAATAATGCTTGATAAAATTCTGATGAGTTTCATGTTTTTCTGATATAGTGGCCTCAAAAGGTATTTAGGAATAAATGCAAAACATCAAATACCAGTATCTGCAAACAGATGTTGCCAGATCTTTCATTAGAACCGCCTCTTCTTTTCTATATGATTTTATTAACCCACTGATCTTGAACCAACTTGTCACATGAAATGTATGTACTATCTATTAAAAAAAAACGTTGGGCTTATATTGATATTTTGTGATATGCATTTTAAACGTGAAGCGAGTGTTCACTTTTGTGTCCATTGTTTACGCTTTACATAAAGTAAAGTTTCTTATATTGTCTAATGCTGTGGTATGGCAAAGGCCAAACAGTTTTTT